AATGATAAGGTTGTTATGGTGATCAAAACAATCCATATCGTGATTTCCACAAAATACTTTTACTCGAACTTTCTCTTAGCCTAATGGTCCTTCTAAAACAGATTCAATGTTGAAAAACTAGGACTGTAAGGAACCTCAAAAGGGACACCAGTGCCCTGCCATCAGAATGACTCACGTCTCTTTATGATTATTTTACTCGGTATGTGCTGATTCACACGTATACATTGGTGTGCTGCCACGTGTGCAGTCCAGAATGGCGCATCCCGTGACTGGCAATTGACCAATCACCGATCTTGATTCTGTAAGGTCGCAGCTAGGTGCCATTGAACTGTTAAAAAATGCGGAACATGCTCCTGAAAGCACGTGGTCTGTCCACATCATTTGCGTGAAATTTCTCATATTTAACCAGTCGTGTACTTAAGCAAGCTGTGCATATCGCGTATCGATCACTTCTTACATTCGAGACTAATAGCTAAGTGTACCAGGATCGATCAGACAACCACATCAATCTGTTGGCCAGTGAGTAAATCACTCAACTGAAATCCGGACCAACTGATCAGTACGAGTGGGCGATATAACTCCAGCGTGGAATTGCTCTGTGCTCATTCAACAAGTTTTGTTTGCCGATACTACAGTTTTGGAATTATTAAACAACTTCAAACGTACAAAGAGATCTGTCCAAGAGATCACTTCTGAGTGACTATTAACGTGCTATTTATCCCAAAGATGGAAGCAAACGTTCCTATCTGCAATTTTCTCTCTTCGGATGTACAGTGTCCAGTTACTAACAGGAACGTAGCATGTTCGAATTGGTTTAGAGGCTCATGAAGATCCTATAACTGCGTGTTAGTAAACTTACATTCTCGAGATGGCCGGCTACCATCTTTTTTTGGTAGAACCGTTTTGGACCCGAGAATACAGGATCTTCTGACATACGGATCTACCCTTCATTCAGCATCTTTGAGTTAAAATTGTCGCAAGCCCAGGAGCTATTCCCACGTCTATATGGTCGACCCAATCATAAGGTTGTTATGGTGATCAAAACAATCCATATCGTGATTTCCACAAAATACTTTTACTCGAACTTTCTCTTAGCCTAATGGTCCTTCTAAAACAGATTCAATGTTGAAAAACTAGGACTGTAAGGAACCTCAAAAGGGACACCAGTGCCCTGCCATCAGAATGACTCACGTCTCTTTATGATTATTTTACTCGGTATGTGCTGATTCACACGTATACATTGGTGTGCTGCCACGTGTGCAGTCCAGAATGGCGCATCCCGTGACTGGCAATTGACCAATCACCGATCTTGATTCTGTAAGGTCGCAGCTAGGTGCCATTGAACTGTTAAAAAATGCGGAACATGCTCCTGAAAGCACGTGGTCTGTCCACATCATTTGCGTGAAATTTCTCAAATTTAACCAGTCGTGTACTTAAGCAAGCTGTGTATATCGCGTATCGATCACTTCTTACATTCGAGACTAATAGCTAAGTGTACCAGGATCGATCAGACAACCACATCAATCTGTTGGCCAGTGAGTAAATCACTCAACTGAAATCCGGACCAACTGATCAGTACGAGTGGGCGATATAACTCCAGCGTGGAATTGCTCTGTGCTCATTCAACAAGTTTTTTTTGCCGATACTACAGTTTTGGAATTATTAAACAACTTCAAACGTACAAAGAGATCTGTCCAAGAGATCACTTCTGAGTGACTATTAACGTGCTATTTATCCCAAAGATGGAAGCAAACGTTCCTATCTGCAATTTTCTCTCTTCGGATGTACAGTGTCCAGCTACAAACAGGAACGTAGCATGTTCGAATTGGTTTAGAGGCTCGTGAAGATCCTATAACTGCGTGTTAGTAAACTTACATTCTCGAGATGGCCGGCTACCATCTTTTTTCACGTTATCGTCCTGTTTGCGGTTAACCTTACTCTAGCTGCCGGGGTCCTGATGTTGTGATACCTCTTTTTTGGATGTTTGCTATTGTCTCTTAACGGGAAGCTATGTCCAAGTGAACACTTCGTTCTTGCCCCTTGATGACTTTCAAGTACGTTCGCCTGAATGACACGCCGTTTGAATGGAAACGTCTCGTGCTTTCCCTCCTCGTCCCAATTTTAAAAAACGGATCCCCTCGAATTTGTTGCAACTTTCCTGACTGTGGATGAGGATGGTTTTAGCCGGTACATTTTCTCCAGCTGCTGACTGCTGAGTCCTCTCCTGTGGTTTATACCTTACTTGGGACAGTGCTTCTCAAGCTCTCCAAATTACCACCCCTCAGCTCCATTTGTCTAACACCCTCTTCCCCGCATTCCTATTCGTACCTCTCAACAGAGGCTATGGGTGAGTACAGTTTATAAGTACCAGCTTGTATCAAGCCTAAGGTTATCCGGGAAAAGAGTGAAATTCGCGGAGTTTTAGGTTTAGAAAAAGCATGTTGAATACATTAAACTTATTCTCCGCTGAGTATGCTGAGTACGTTTAGGCGACACAATAGATAAACGCTGTCAATCCGCAGCTTCAGGGTAACATCCCCGTATTCATTTATGTATCCAGGTGCCTCAGTATGATCCTTCGAACATTTGTTTTGAGCCGATTCGAAACGTGCTCGACTTTTTTTAACCTACTGGCAAGGTCATTGTTGTAACGTGGATGGCCGTCTATTGGTCACGCCTTCACTGAGCCTGTCAGAATACGCGATAAGGAGAAGACAGGAAACTCGGGACACGGCTGTAATGTCAGGACAAAACATACAGAGCGTCTGCGTAAATATATAGGATGACTAAATGGCCAAATCTGGTTGTTCACTTGCTCGTTCTGCACAGCCAATGGCGGTGTTCCGTTTGTGAACACTTTCAGGCCCACTCCGCTGGTCGTACATTGCTAAGCCCTACTTGGTGAGCTCCGCCAACGCACCTGCTTTCCGAATATGTCGTACCGATAGTGACCTTGGAAATACGTCACTCTCCGCACATGTACTTTTTCCATGTCTGGGAGCGTTCTGACAGTTAGGTAGGCGTTTTTTCGGCTCCCTCAAGTGCTGAGGAGTTGGTCATCTCGGTCTGCATAAAACCCACCGGTTCATTGCATCAAACAAAGATGCCTGGTGTGATTCTTTGAATTTCCTGAGCATTAAAACTCCCATCGTCACGTCCAAAAAAGGAAACAACTGTTTTATTTGGTTACAAATACTTACCATAGAAGACATGATTGTATCACCCGTCGTCACCTATTCAGCTTCGACCTCCCACCATCCGACAACCTCGCGTCGCCCCCTAAGGGTTGATTGATTTTCTGAGCTAATTTTTAGTTCTATCTGTTTCGTACCACAATCGGTCCCTACTGTTGTTCGCCGCGGAATCCCTTTTCTCTCTAAAGTATTCTCGCGCGACTTGAACTAAAAGGTCTGATGAACCGCTTTAGCTCCTGACCCGAACTCAATTAAGCATTGATCTCTATTGCGCCACCTCAGAACTAAGTGCTCAGGCCCTTACTGTGAAAGATTTCAAGGGACATCCATGTTACAGTCAATTCCACCTTTATTGATACCAGAACCTTTACTGAGCTCCGCTGTCGCTACCGAATTAATCGAACGGATAAACAATTTGAGGGAGATGGTCTAAGACAGCTACTCTAAAGTCCTCATGTCTTCCGAAACACGTCGATTATCCTCATGGAAGCCAGAATTAATCAATTCCCTCAAGTGCTGAGGAGTTGGTCATCTCGGTCTCCATAAAACCCACAGGTTCATTGCATCAAACAAAGATGCCTGGTGTGATTCTTTGAATTTCCTGAGCATTAAAACTCCCATCGTCACGTCCAAAAAAGGAAACAACTGTTTTATTTGGTTACAAATACTTATCATAGAAGACATGATTGTATCACCCGTCGTCACCTATTCAGCTTCGACCTCCCACCATCCGACAACCTCGCGTCGCCCCCTAAGGGTTGATTGATTTTCTGAGCTAATTTTTAGTTCTACCTGTTTTGTACCGCAATCGGTCCCTACTGTTGTTCGCCGCGGAATCCCTCTTTCTAAAGTATTCTCGCGCGACTTGAACTAAAGGGTCTGATGAACCGCTTTAGCTCCTGACCCGAACTCAATTAAGCATTGATCTCTATTGCGCCACCTCAGAACTAAGTGCTCAGGCCCTTACTGTGAAAGATTTCAAGGGACATCCATGTTACAGTCAATTCCACCTTTATTGATACCAGAACCTTTACTGAGCTCCGCTGTCGCTACCGAATTAATCGAACGGATAAACAATTGGAGGGAGATGGTCTAAGACAGCTACTCTAAAGTCCTCTTGTCTTCCGAAACACGTCGATTATCCTCATGGAAGCCAGAATTAATCAATTGCCCGGCCAAAACGAACACACTGATTGGTTGTTGCATCCAACCACTGGTACGAACCCAGTCCCCTCTCGCTTAAAGACCTGTTCCTCTCCGTAGCTCTCGGATTGATTCGCTTATTGTGGGAACCGCTTTTCAACAGCTAGTGGCACTGCGTGCAGGGTTATGTGTGGATATTGGTCCGGTTCCAGCTGGGGTCTTTTATTACAGCGTACCGGAACAAACTTCTGGTTTGTCATGTTTGTAGGAGTAGATACTACTACCTGGTGTCAGAGTATTCACTTGCCTGACCATGTGCGTTTGCTTCTATCCCACCGCGTATGACCAGCCTGTCGCACGAGCCCTTTGATTGTGTTGTCCCCTTTTCGTCCGCACTTTTCCCCTGTAATTACAGTTCCTGGTGGCAATCGACTGTTAGCCCTTTGCATGCTGTCCTCGTTTTTTTCATTGGGGTACCAGTCTTTCTGAGCACTCATCAATCTTAAGAAGCCGTGATGAATTAGTCTAGACAAAATTACTGAATTACTTCCAAACAACCCGCTGGGACTCCCGTAACATATTCTACCTGGTGTACACCGCTCTGGCATGCTTCCAGTCCTACAGTAGTCCTAGTTCCACGTTTGTTCACCTTCAATACTTCAGGGGATCGCCCTGATTCCTCGAAACATAAACCGCGCAAAAGTCCGTCAGATTCCACGAAAGATGAATCTGAACTCCCAAAATCAACTTTGCGAGTGGCTTCCTCAGTCCCTGATCTGACAATTACACTGAGACAACTGTCGAAGGATGCACGCCGGCGTACAGATATCCGTGATTTGAACTGGAATCCGGTCGGTGATTCTCGTCCAAGTTTAGACACAACTAAGCAACCGATGAGAAGTCCATCGAGACGTCAATCAAAAACACCGAGGGGGTCAGCAGGTCTAGAAAATAATCGACTTGAAGATTATCTGGAACCGATACTGCGTGAACTCCATTCAAAACAGGGCAAGATTTCAAAACGAAGACAGGACACAAAGCGTATTCCATCTCGAAGCGCAAAACGCAGACCGCTTGAGAAAATCACTGATGAAGAGGCTGTCCTGGAACTGGCAAAACTTTCTCCAGATATTCTACCGGAAAAAGTTGGTAAGAATTTAATCGTGGGTTGTTTAGACCGTTTTCGTACCGTTTGCTCTGTTTAGTCTGCTTGATCTCATATTGTTAGTTCTCGGTTACTGTGTCCTCACGCGAAAACACATCATGGATCACCAAATCGTCCGCGTGATGATGAAGATTCCCCTTTTGGTAGGAGATTAATAAACGGAATCAAGAAAGAGTCTGCCCACAAATCGGATGAACTTTCAAAAACACTGTGGAAAAAATAAAATACTAATTAGTAGAAATAGATGTGTTCAACGAAAACGATCGTCGTTTCAGGCGCATTGTTAAAGCAGGGGTCGTTCCGCAATGTTGCTTGACTCATCATCCACCAACAAGTGAGTAGAATAAAGTTTGATTCTCATTTGCAAATTAAGGTGATATCAATGAGGTGTTCACTCGTATCTGTTGTGCTAAACAAAGGTTGTCTTCTAGATTTTGCTTGAAACGATATCCACTCATTTTCTTTCAAGTTAGGCTATTTATAGGATTGAGGCAAATTTTTTGGACAGCTGTCCAAGCGTATTCATGGCTCATTGGTTATAGCGCGAATTTACTCGGACAGCTGTCCAAGCGTATTCATAGCTCATTGGTTATAGCGCGAGTTTACTGACCGGAAGGTCCGTGGTTCGAACCCGAGCTCTACCTGTCAACTTCGCCTGTCTAAGCTTGAGCAATCAGGCAGTATCCTAGCCCTCATGTTACTTTCGGCTGGAATGGCAGTTATGCACCGAAAAAGTCCTACAGCTGAACGATTCATGAGTCCTGTAGGCGGTGACATAGAAAGGAAGGAACAACACTGCTTCTTTAAACATGAAATCATATCCAACGCTTTCAAAGAACCTCTCACAAGTTGTAACACCAATCAGGATTCCTTTGCTTAGCCGATCTAACGTGTGGTCTCCTTTCAGTCTGCCTACGAAAGCTGGAAGCACATTATAGCTAGTGAGGAGGACTGTAGTGTACAGCAACTTTTAAGGTGAAACTCCCAAAGTATGACAGGGTATGAAGGAGTGGTGAAAAGCCTTTCAACTCTGAGAAACGTAGATTCAACGTGCGGCGACCAAGATCGGTTTTGACTAGATGTAATTCGTAGTTATTTACTGCTAGGAAAGGACCGGCTTGTGTGACGGCGTAAATACATTCCGGTGTCCGAAGGCTAGCAAAACGGTGGGCGGGCCAATTCCGCGATCCAGTTGAGCCATCAGATTGAAAGAGAGTTAGGTAGATAGTGTCACTGGCCGGATATCCAATGACAGCGTTATCATCGCGAAGGATAAGGGCGACCGTCGTGGGTCCGAGCACCAGCCTCGGCTGTTCCCGGGTTGCTAACTGAGAGCTTCAAGCCATTAGTTCGCATTCTTATCTCCCGTCGGATTATATTCATGCAGGTCTATTTATTGTACCTGTACATCGTCTGCCTATTCAGATACGCTCGAACAGACTAGTTTCACATCCCAATATCCCTAACTCTGAGTTGAATAGTGGATTCTCTTCACCATATTTGCTCAGACTGAGGAACAGCGGCTCAGACCTTTGGAGTTCACAGTCAACCGAAATATTCGTCGCGGAGACAGTGCATTTTGGCATTGATTAGTTGAGGACACCACTGTCTTTGAAATGCACACCGGTACCTGACCTCCTCGGGTCAGTGTTTATCGGGAAGAACGACAAGAACTTCCGAACAACCAGGATCTCATCACTGTGTCCCAATACTAGTGTTTGGCGAATTTAAGGACGATGAATTTGTGTGTTTCATACATTTCGTTGACCGATACGGCTTTTGTACTCTTGACCTTCCTAGCCAACAGGGTGCCTTCGATTTTTTCTGAAAATAGGCTCTCTGCAAAACCTTGGTTGACATTCCGGTTTGCTTTTCTTCTCTCGGTTTGCCGGCTTGTTAATTGTGTCATACACCTACAACCACATTCCCCTGCGGATTGAGCAAGCGTTTCAGCTATCCTCTCCAGGACCTGTGCTGCGTTGCTTGCTTTATGCTGGAATGTCTATAAGCCTGATAGGATGTAACGCCGAGGACTGTGGGGTAACCACGCGCAGCCAGTCCACACAGTCCTCTAATTCCTAATGTCACTTAATCAGCCAGATGTCTGTCGGACTTTTGCCTGGAAGCCAGAAGGTAGATGGTTGAAAACTCGGGACGGGAGTTTCCAGCATTTAGCCAGCGGACAATGTAATAGCGTGAAGGTGAATTCATTCACTTAAGAGAACAGATTACTGATCATTTGATGGGTACCTCATGCGAGTTATTAAATTTTACTGGCCCGTATCGATGGAAGGAGCGATGCGGCATGATCAATCAAATTGACCGCACAGTGCGTCGCCACGACTCAACTTATTTTTAAGAACCGTGCGTGACGGTTCCAACCGCTAAACGATATCTGTGGTTGAAGATAGCATGAGCAATGCGACATGAGACAGACGAGGCGTTTGTTCCACACCGGGGGGTTCCGTCTCATGTGTACAAGGTCGAAACTATGGTTAGATATGAATCCTCTATAGTGGCTTAGCCTAAATTAGGTCATATTCTTTAGCAGATTCTCACCATCGGTCTTCAATGAGTGGCGCACAATCACTTATCCCACAGGGTCACAGTTCTTTCCAACCAATGGTCAATCGGTACCATTCATTGGTGAAGGAAAGGAGCCGCCGGCCCTCTTACCCACCAGACGATCCAGTCAAATGTCTCCATTGTCTGTAACTCTCTTCGACCCAGTCGTGGATGATTCGGTTTCTCTGTGCTCACCCAATCATCTGCGCTACCGCTTTGCCCGATCAACGAGTGATGTGATGTTGAGCAAGCAAGGCAGTCGGATTTTGGCGAGCCAGCCCAATTTGGCTGCTTCATTCGGTAAGCTGTGTGTTTGAGTGTCTACGACTGGGCTAAGAGACTCGCGAATTTCTAACCGGTTGTAAACTCACAAATTCTTACTCTTACCGGCACTTCCATCATTTTGTCACTGTAGTGACTGGCCAATCACCTAACAGTGTCTTCCCTGTATCCCTATTGGTTCGTTTCTCATTTGTGCACCCGTTGGCCAGTGGTGGTACTTTTTTCCTGTTCTCCTCTAGAACCAACTGTTTATTGCTTCCTGGTGTGCAGTTTCTTCGCTGTTAATGTTAGGAAAGTTTTAATCACTTTTTGGATCAATCACTCGTCTGTCGAATGGTTTTGTCTCATTTAATTGACTAACATTGCTGTGACCTCCCGTGGTTGTTTCCTGGACGTTTTTATTGCTGTGCACTTGGAAGTAGGTAATTTTCCTTAACTGAATGAACGGATTTTTCGTCTGCCTCCAATTCTCTTGGAATCGTAGTTCGCACTGATCAATAAAAAATTGGACGTTTCATAACGGAGAGTTCCCTTACTGTCGAAGCATGTCTTTCAGACCCACTATACCAGAGGCTTTCTGGCGTTCTCCTTCTATTTCACCATTTCCGGACCACCTTCGCCACACAGTTCCTTCTCGTTATTGTTTCTCTCTGATAATCTCCTCTATTCGACTGGATTCTCACAAAGCTGCAGTAGCCTCTGTTTCGGTTTTTCTACGTCAAGGCTTTTGAAATGACATTCCTTTGGTTAGACAGCGGTGTTTTCGTCATGGTGATGCAACGCCATCTCAACCTAATCGCTTTACCTTTGGCATTAAAACCACCTTTGTTCACCAGAGGATTCTGTGTTGTTGAAGTGTTTGACTTTTCACTGCTTTTCATGGTCAATTCTCGGTGAAGTGGACCCGTTTAAACTACACTGTTTCACCCTCATTTGATTTGACAACAACTCCAACTATAGGATGACCAGTCACACTACTGTAGACTGATTGGTACTCATTAGGAGCAAAATCACGGGAATGTGCTTCAACCTCACCTGAGTCTCTACACACGTGACCTTCTCTTCTGCTCTACATATGCTATTTACCTTGTGCGGTTTTATACTCAATGGCCAACGCCTGTGTAACATTCAGTCTGATCGTCACAGTACAGGTCAACCGTTGATATCTCACAGCCACGTCTTCTTCGTTCTTGGTCACGTGTAGACTCCATACTCTCTTGCGAATGAGTTGTCTGTTCCACACTCCGTGAGGTGTGCTATTTGCAGTCGATACCGGTCAACTGGCGAGCGCAGCGCGACTGCTCGCTCCTATAGTTGAGTTTGAAACAACATACTGTTGATATTGTCCAAATAGCCCTGGATTCGAACCTCAGCCTGAGCGATATTCGGAGGATGAAACACTCATTCAATCCGTTCGTCGCACAATGTGCCAACACACACAATGGAAGATTGTTTGCTTGCCAATCGAACGAGCACAACCGCTTGGCGGATTTTGATCATGTGGTCGGATAACGAGACAGAACTTCAAACGCAAGGCATTCTTCCATTTTTGCGCACGCTCGTGAGCCCAATGGGCGAAATTTCGCCAGCAATGCTTCGCAGTTCCGTGTGAAATTGTTTGCTTACTGAATCCAAAAAAATTGATCACCTTCAGCTTCCATCCATTTCCATATGAATGAGCAACGGAAATACGCTGAGATGTAGACGATCGACCGCATGTTGTAAGAACCGATCGGGCGAACAAGTTTATACACACTTTGTAGTGCTCCTCCTACACTCCGCTGCCTCCAAATATCCGCAACGGTTTACGTGTCAGTCACGACTTTGCCACGGAAGAGAAACCAATTTTCCTCTTCAGATAGGGTGGGTGCCCCCTTCCCCTGCAGTAGTCTTTTTTTAGGGGTACTGTATTCCCCGCTTCATCAGGTTGGTCACCATAAACCGTTTATCGGAATACGATGGTTCCAGCTGCTCTAGACTGGCTTACTGAGAATACGTAGAGTGGGAGGACGACAACCCAGCTTTGGAGTCGATGGTCCAATCAGTTCACTGGCTTTAAATTGCTCTTGTTGTCCGATAAAGAGGGGCACAACATAGATGCTTTATTGCATGTTCCCCATTGGTTGCGTGATGGCCGTATCTGTTAGGGTCCTCAACCGATGGTCTCCTATTCCCTACTCAGGAGATGACAGTTGCCACTTTATAGATTGGCTGTCCCTGGGTCCTCTTTATCCGGAACATGATTGGATGTAGAGGGTTCCACGAGGTAAGCCGTCATCTTGCGTACCAAGTGTAAGGCCCAATCCGCGTAACCGGTGGATCAGATACTTGGTTCTTTGATTTCCACTCTTGGTGGAGGGCTGGCGTGGACGTTCAATCTAGTTTCATATGGTTGTTCAACAAGTGAACTTGGTGCAAGCCAGCTGGACAGTCCCTTTCAAAACAACGTTTTTTAGATGAACTGAGGTCCCACTCCTTTTGCGGATCCCTTTCACTAATACTCGCCCTCTCCGGATCAGTTAGTCGGCTGTTTCCCGTTGTAACTATTTTGTACATCGACCAGACCAAAGCTCACTATCAGTCTTTGGACTGTTCATTCGGTCCCTGTTTTCCGTAGCTCCCCAAAATCTGGTTAGAAATCTTACACCAATCAGTGAGGTAGAGCGCGAACGCATAAATCGTTTATTTGACAAAAAGTGAAGCGGTGGGTACATTTAACCACGTTTCGCCCTCCTACCAATGTATGGTGTTCCAGCCTAGGGTTCACACGTCTCGAAATCACAACGTTGCTTTTTTATCCCAATCGTTTCGAAACAGATCACGGTCTGTGGTGTTCGACACCACATTTTTGAACAATTACGCCCGTTCAAACTCCAACAAGGATAGTTGTGTGATGGTCGCTAACAATATAATTTGGACGGGTGCCCCTTTGTGTTTGTCTCCGAAGATAATCTTCGCACTAGGCTAATCTGGTTCCCCTGAGGCGTAATGTTTCACTCCATCTTTCTGTCTCCACGTCTTGAGGTCCACACCACCCTCTGTCACGGCGGTTTAGAACAAGCAATCATTTCTTTTTTTTTCATTTGCCTTCTTTGGTGGTTTGCGAATTCGTTTCCTATCAGTGCACTGAAAGAAGCTCTTTCCTTTTATTCAACTCTCCCCGTTTTTAACTGCGCCTAATCTACAGTCCATGGGTCCAAAAGTAATTAGGAAAACGTTGATGCCACCATTTAAACCGACTCTCACAGCTTCTGGACCAATTCGCCCCCCAAAAAATTCATTGTTTACCTGATTGGTTTCGAAACCGTTTTGTCGAAAAACTTATCAGGTAGACATTTGGTTAAAGAAGATATAGAAAAGGTGGACTTGGCTACGGTTAAAAAATTTCTCTGTGTTTTGTGTGCCTTTCAAGTGAGTATCACCGATTGACCTACTAATCAATAATGTCCTGTGGCATAGTCGTTGAGTCATACATTACTCTCGTTTGAATAGTCGTCCCTATGTTTTGGAGTAATCATTCTGGTGAGTCTATTAGTGCATAGGTGGCGATAGCCATAATACAAATCAGAAGGTGTATGTGCACTAATGGAAGTTTTTAGCATGGTTGCGATACTTATAAAATGGGAGTGAAATGGGAGCGAGTCAAAAGGGAACTTATCGTATGTGAGAGTCTCTTGGTGAAAGTCCGGACAGTGGGAGCGTGTTTCCTCCGCAGTTTGGCCGCTACACGTATTCCGTAGTTGTCTGTGGACTGGGAGTGTTGGGCTGACCCCTTGCTCCATGCGCGCGCGCGATTCTGTGTCCTGACTGGGTTCGGTTTCCCTTTATGTAGGTCCCAGTGCGTATATGTGGGCGCGTCGGCACATGAGTGGTTGTTACGCTGACTAGGCGGTGCAGACAATCGATGTCCGATGAGTCAGCTTAATGCGACGTGTTTGTGCGTATGAGAAGAAAAAAAAACAGGCCTCGCGATCCAGTGAGTGACTGAGTTGAACAGTCAAGTATATCGCTACAAGTCCACGCCAAAGGGTGGAAGCTCCGGATTCGAGCTTCACTCTTATTACAGCTCATCAACAATACACATTCTTGGCCACGGCTTGGTTTGACCTCCGGATATGAATTCCATCTACAACTAATTGTTGTTGGAGGGGGGCGAGATGGCCCAAGTGGTTAGAGTGCGAATTTACTGACCGAAAGGTTCGTGGTTCGAACCCGACCTCCATCTCTCAACCTCCCTTGTCTAGGCTCGGGCAACCTGGCAGTATCCCAGCCCTCATGCAACTTTCCGGTGGCATGGCAGTTAGGCACCAAAAGGGTGCTACAGCTGAACGAAGCGCATTGTTGTTGGTCCTTGGAATGGAAATTCCGAATGTACGTAGCATGAACGAAAAGACACATGGATTTGAACGATTGACGTTTAATTAGGCTTCTCTTTTCACGATCCGTCAAATTCCCTTCTTCCTTCTTGTATTTTGTACCAAAGCCCCTTCGAGTATCTGGACGTCCCATCCACCATTGAGTCGCATAAGGGGGTCACTAAGGGGGCTGGTAGATGTTACTTGTCATTCATTTAAGCGACCGAGCTATGGAGTTTAGATGCATAGGCGCGACGAGGGATGAACACTCCCATTGGCGTAGTCGATACAGCCCGCCAACCGCGGGATCGATAATCGGGAGATCAGTGGCTTGAATTCGCCTACAGACCTGTCTTTTCCTCCATATTGCATGTGCTTGAACCTCTCAATTTAAGGTTCGATTTCAATGAGAGTCTTTGATTATGAACTGTGATTGTTGTGTTAGTCACTAAGACATTCTATTTGTATTGAACTCCCAGGTTCCGGGCAAACTGGGAGAAGATTTTTCGAAATGTTCTGGAGTTTGTAATAGACCGGTCTATTCGGCTGGCGCCCTAACAAAGGTTTCACTATGTACTTCGGGTTGTCAAGTTGTGAGTTGTTTTACGGTTCTTAATATTTTCAGGTCAATGCACTGCATGCATACTCATTGGGGACGCTACGTTTTCCACTTTACCTGACATAGCGATCACTCATCTATTTAATGGCCATAGAATACCCTTAGTCTATGGCATTGAGGAACACTATCCATCTGAACTATGTTATGGTCTTGCCTTCGCAACAGACAACACCTTGCTTACGACTTCTGATTAACCCAGAGAATCAGGTTCCTTTGGGTTTTCATTCGCCCAATCGAGATAGGTTGATGCATGAACGTACTGTCCGGTAGGTCCGTGGTTCTGCATCTCAACTGTTCATGTCTAGGTTCGGCATCCTGGCAGTCTCTCAGCCCTCGTGCTCCCTTCTGGTGGCGTAAGGAGTGTTACAGCTGAACGACTATTGTTTCGATTACTATCATTCAGAAAGTCACCAATCTCAATTGTCCCCCGGAGACTCATGAGGTGCGTGCTTCTCCCGGAGACTCATGAAGTGCGTGCTTCTAATAACCGTCAACAAGGATGAAACGGCTGTGCAGCACTTCTCAACCTTTCAGCAAATATTGGAGGATAAAATCCTAGCCGGCTAATATTTGCTCACTCGTCTCTGTCTGTGTTATGGGTCATTAAGGGTAGACGTGGTTGATTCTCTCTGATAACGGAGTTGGAGTCGTTTGTTGGCACTCACTGCACCTTTTCCATTGCTCTTTAGCGTTCCTTCGACCCATGCTCAATGTGGATGCCCCAAGAGACGAATATCTGATTTATAACGAAGCTATCGCATCGGTCTACTCCTATCCCTGGTTTCATTTCATCTACGCTTTGGCAACGCTCTACCTGATGACCCAGTTGACTAACTGGTTCAAGTAAGCTGTTCCATTTAATCGTTTTAGCTGTTTGATCTTGAGGTTGTAAAAATACTATAGCTACTACCGAGGGGTCGGTGGCACAGGCTGCGGTCATCGATGCGGTGGTATAATGATATGGGTAGATACACAAACACACACCCCCGGCTTTGTCCTTTTAGTTCAGCAAACAATGAAAATGGCTTCAACCAGCATTAACTCTTAGGTAAGCATCAGTAGTATGTTCAAACTGTTGTCTGTCCCGAAATCATGGTGACTTGCTGGGTGAATGAACGGTGGTGCTTCGGAAGTGATTCGGTTTTTCCTCTCGTCCCATTTACTACCGCTTACTATGGTCAAGTAAGAATCAAGATGATCCTCTCAAAGCACTTTAACGCAACTGTTTTTAAAAAAAAACTGGTGAGGAGAGTACCAAGATACTATTAGCCATCAACTTGAATATGCGTGTGCGCGATCGAACCCGGGATATCTTTTTCAAAACACTCAGTCTATCATCCGTCTCGTGAACGCTTCAGCGTTCGTCATTCCGAAACCACTTCTCAAGCCTTCTCCAGCGATTCGTTGTCATATGCGCTTCCCAAACCCTGAAGTGTAAGTGACTTTACAAGAATTGGTCATCACCTCTGCACTGGCGTTTTTATTCGATTGAAACCAACCCTGAGAGACAAGTCGTCTCTGCTCCTCACAAACCACGACCTCTCTGATCGCGCTGTCGCACAGGGGAGTAACTATTTAGTCTCTTGTGTGTATACTGGTTTTCTATAGGGGATTGGGGACTCTTCAGACGTCTGCTCTCAAAACCATCAAAGTTAATTTCATTGGTTAACAACTGGTGCCACCATGTTGATGTATCATATGTACCCCTTCGTTTCTGCGCTCCTTCCGTGAGTAAAGATCAATCAAAACCATCCGTGACCGCCAGGAACCAATCCATACGTCCAGTACATGCACGCACATCATTCTGTGTATCATTGTCAACTTCCAGTTGAGTACACCGAGTTTCCAACTTTTTATGCACAACTTTTCATCCAACTTTTCCAACTTTTCATCCAACAAAACCCATTGCATACCTCCACTCTCACTCTCTCGATTACTATTTCAGCCCTCACATTTCCGGTGTGGAAACGCTATCAAGCTCGTGGGCCAATATGTGGATGAAGCTGGCTTCCAGCTGGATCGCGCTGGTTTTGTATGCCTGGACAATCGCCTGCCCGCGACTTTGCATCGGTCGAAAACTGGGTGAAACACCACTAACGCCTAGGACTCCTCAAATGAGCACAACCGCCGTCTTGCCGGTGTGATTATCTATGCCGAACGTTGTGATATTCCTAGCTTCGTGTCATAAGTTGATCATATTGGGGGATAAACCTGCATTTGAATTTCCTTTTTAAGTCATCACGCTCAGATTTTTCGACGAGAGATTGTTTGAATCCAAACAGAGTTTCGTGTTGACACCCTGTCCCGATGAACCATTACGTAGACCTCAGTCGTATTTGACTTATGCTTTCATCAAACCAATCCCATCGTGCTAACTTGCCTGTGTTTGTTTTATTGTTGCCTGAATGTTGCTCAATTCCTAATGAGGCTGATCTGTTGACTAAACTCCGCCTTTTTTTATCCTCACTCAGTTACTGGGCTGAACCAAAGTGTCATTTTTTGAATTTCTTTTCGCTTAGTATGGGATGGAAAAGTAAAATTGTGAACTTTCGTCTTGGGTTCAAGTAGCCAATTGGAGATCATCCTAAACTGGCACTTGGTTTGGGCCCTTGCAGAGGGGCCTGGTGGTTGGTCCCATCTTCAAACCTGCCATATTTGTTGTCTCATCAATAAATGACGTACCTCAGAGCTGTGCTATGAATCAACTGATGCCACTGAAGTTGATGCTGAATTGAATCAGGATCTGCGTCAAAGACCATAGAGCCAGACTGTCGCTTCGAAACAGAAGTACGAAACAGCCCGCTACCTTTTCCAGAAGAAATTTGTAAACAAGTGCACATTATGCAACCGACAATGCAAGATAATCCAGCCTATGCTGAGGAGTCTCCAAACACTATACGTCGGTTTACTCCTACATGTAAATCATCAATACATTTCGATTAGCAGTTGAGCACTACTGCTCGGCAACAACTGACTGGGCTGTAGTGTGATTACCAGGCAGTGATTTCCCAATAAACTTGTAGGTTTTTTCCACATTTCTGAAGTTTCTATTTCTAGTTCTCACCCGCAAAAAAGCTAAAATCGAACCCGCGATCTCCAGCTTACCAGTAGGTAGGTGCCTAGCAAAACTGGACGCGCCGATGCCTATCAGAAATTTCTCGAAGAACTAATCGCGAATACTTTTATCCGATTTTCAACGCGTGCACAACACTATATTTACTATTCGTCCCGTGATCGATGAGTGGCGCGATACTACTGCGTAATTACTAAGTAACGAAACTCAACTGTACACACAATTATCACACCGAACTACAAAATGGACATCCAACGTAAACTTTGCATAGCGACCAACGACAGTTGGGTGACTGTGTATATGGCTCAACAACATTCAGTGACAGACAGTGTTGTTTGGTCCGTGAACAGAGGTCAATAACAAACGATCTTCATGAGTGAATATCCGGTTTCTGGTGGAATCCGCTGTAGTTCGTAGGTAGTTTCATAAACCAGACTAATAGCGTAGTTCGCGAACAAACATTCAAGCATCGATAACAGCGTACTCGCTCTGGGATTCGATTTCGGGGGGCTTATTTCCCAGGGATACAAGTTCTGTCTCCTGATCCTCTTACATCTCAGTCGAATACTGTGCCATCTTCCTCAGTACTTCTTAGATCATTGTGACCGCTTGGCAACAATCGGGTGCCTCCCCTCTTGACGATGCGATATGTCTAAGTTGGCTATTATGATACCTTGGCTACCAGATGATCGACTGCCTTATCGTGTCTTGTATTCTAAAGTCCGCTGTGACCAGAAGGCATGGCCCAAAAAAGAAGCACGAAAATTTCAATAGCGGGTCTTGACCATGTTGGTTCGTGCCGCCTGCTACGTTGGGGTACCAGTGATGTTACCCATCAATGGATGGTTTCAGCACCACTTTCAGTGATGACCCCAGTTTCTTCACCCCCATCAATCTTGCTTTACCTCTCCCATAAACTTACCTTATCGGCAAGCCTAAGCAATTAATAATAGTCCATGGTTCACAACTGGAAGATTGAAACAAACTGTTCACTCGTGACACGATGCTACTCATAATGTTGACAAAAACTGTTTCGTATTTCGGGCTCATCACGTGAGTGTGGTTGCCGATTTCCCGACCTAAACACCAAGCTGTACATAAATAGAGTTTTACACTCGTTTTCAAATCAATTTCGTGTTGCTATTATCCCCATGAGTGGTATTGGATATCTGAAACATTGGATACTCGGCCTACTTCGTCAGAACGGTCAAATATAGCTTGAAGGTGTTGACATTCCAGATTTGTTTCATCAGCATGAGCCGAAGTAGTCAAGTGGCCTGTCAAAAAGCCATGTTTCGCACTCGGCGATTTCCAGTTCGGTATGGCTTTTAGTCTTGCTGACCCATTGCAGGAACTAATTTGGAATATGTTCTGAGGCCCATTCAGAAAGACATCGAGCAGTTCTGTTGATGTCGTTGTCACCGCGGCTCCGAGTGACCTCGTAAATGACGTACGAGCAGAGTAATAACTCAAACTCGGAAACCTATCTTCAGCCGTCATCCACCGCTTGGGTTGGACGCCTTTGAGCTATTGTATAAGTATGGTTCAAAACAGACTGAATTTTCCACTTGATGCCGTTTGAAGTATGATCGTCCTAAAATTATAGACGCCATTTATCTCCTTCCTAGGTGTGTTCGTCAAGTTGGGTCGAGAGGGGATTGAATTTGCTGTGTAGGGCAATAAACTTTTCTGGGTAGGTGTTAGCTAAAGCAGTCCTGTGAATTCAAGCTTCCCGATCACCCTGGAACTAAGCCACTGCTATCCACTCACAGCAATGTGCCGTTTGATGCACTATACTTGCCGCTTTGTCCAGTTTAAAACATGTATGGGATAGAAGTGGGCCAATTATACTTAGCCATGGTTTGGACTAGGGAAATATGCCTGTTGTTCAAGGTCAGCTGAATGAATGGCATTGCTGTGCATTATGGAGCGATCTCCATCCGTACTAGCGTTTGAATACTGCTGCGTTTTCTGTGGTTGGCTCATCTATTACAATTATGCTATAAGTTCTCTCTAACACCAAAGACACCAAAAGACAATAAGAACTGGCAAACCTTACAGCCGTCAGTCGACCTCCGACCAATATCTTTTACTGACCTGGATGCTCGCTGTATGTGCTGTTGGCGGACCCATTCAGGTGACGTCTGCCTCCACCATGCGAGCAGCCGTCAGTCGACCTCCGACTAACATGTTTTATTGACCTGGATGCTCGCTATATGTGCTGTTGGCGGACCTATTCAGGTGACGTCTGCCTCCACCATGCGATACAGGCTCGTTAGCCAATCGATGTTGATACAATCATCCCAAGTGACGTGAAATAACTTACAGGATGAAAAAACTGTGTGGCTATGATTTCCACTTATCTGTTCCCTGGACATGATCTGCAACCTAGGGTTTGGTATGCTTATCAAACTCTTTCGTGGTATGAGCAATATTTAGGTAGAATGGGTGAAGATAGAGCTCTAAGCTGCGCTGCGATGGGACCAAGTCAAGAAGACCCATTAGACGTCCTAGGGTTAGAGGGCGATTCAAAATCCAGCAACGCTGTCTTTTACGATGCCCTGTCGGACCTTCTAGCCCCGCAACCAATACGGACATGTTACCTTTAGCTGTAGGTTATAACGCAAGAGTTGGTCGGCTTTTTGTCAAGTAAAAGTGTCCGACGAGCGCAACGCATGAGTGATTCATTGCGTCACCTGTGTCTCCTACAGTCTGAATTCGTCCACTAATATGTTTTAAACGAGGAGGGTTTTGTTGTCTGGGGAAAAATCTAAATCAGACCACGTCATTATTAGCTACAAACGGCTGCGCAACATGAACTACGTACATTGGTCAGTACGGAGTAATCTATCGTGCATTATCTGCGGTCGATCACCGTCTTCAAACACCTATGGCAGTGGTGAATCGACTCCACATTATCCCGATTTTCGCTTGGACGTAAAACTCGCGAAGATACTCTGTGAAATTTAAGGTGTCCTTCACTTAGCAGCACGCATGACTGCGTCTTTACGATGTCAAACCGAATAGTTGCAGGTTCCTTGTCATTGGAAACATGAACATGAGTCGTATGAGTACTGACTTTCACTGAACGCACTCAGACGTACTTTAATGTTGAAAATCAGTTATTTCCAAATACAGTTCTCTGAAGCAAGTAGGATACGCACAGCATTGCTTTGTTGCTAACCACTAGTGCTCTCCACTGATTTAGTCTTCTGTCGATAAAGAGTTCATCGATATTAGCGAATATGCACTCATCTGCAAACTAATTTGGTTCCTTCGAGAGACTCACCTGGAACCCAGCTGAATCTCTCGTTTATGATGTTCTCAGGCAACTGAATGTGCTGCACCAGGCCGCCTCATGTTTCAGTCGCTACGATATTTGAAATATCGCGATACATCTACATATTTGTAATGTACTACTCATAAGGTTGCTGAAAATCCATAGACAGCCCACGACCGGTTTCGCCCTTCTTGGGGCTCATCAGGTAGGCGCAGTCCCCGGGTTTCCATCAACCTTATGTTCTACTTGAAACCATGATTAGTTCCTACTTAGGCAGGACATAGCGCCGCTCACACAGCGATCACGGGAACAGCACGTGACACTGTGTAGTGCTTCTCAGCTTTTCAGTATAGAAAGGCTCTACTTACGCAATGAATTCTCCATCGATAAAAAGTTTCTCCATGCACAGTCCAAAGGTGGATGAATAATCTGATATCTACCCAACTGGCCGGTGGCTTCACAGCTAATCTAGATATTCCGATATATCTCTTCGATCAGATCTTGTTATCTGGGTTTTGAGGGCCAACTTACAAGTTTCAAGTTGTTCTCAGATGCAAGTTACCGTGAATTGGAGCATAGTTTCGTGCCCTGATAAATGAGGAGTGCACTTTTGTAATGCACTACTCATAAGGTTGCTGAAAACTCCTAGACAGCCCACGACCGGTTTCGTCCTTTTTGGGGCTCATCAGGTAGGCGCAGTCCCCGAGTTTCCGTCAACCTTATGTTCCACTTGAAACCAAATTAGTTTGCTAATGAGGTGTGCACTTGTCTAAACTGCTAGATATGTTCCTAAGGACAGAGGCAGCAGAACACACGGGTTTCGTAAGCTGTGCATTCCAGCCTCCCAATTAAGCGCCAGCTATCTATAGTGAAGTAAATGTAGGATAGGATAATGATATGACGCGATCAAACTCCAGCAAATCCAACCGAAATTGATGCCCCGTGAGAATTTCAGAGACGTTTTTCAAAAAATACTACTATTATACTACTAAGTTTATTTTCTGGACAGTATGGTCACAAACATAAGAATACCAGCGGCAGACGTGAAAGGATATACTGAAGAGCATAAAAGAGGAAAACACTGCAGGCGAAGTTGTGCCATCAAGTTTTTCCTGTCAGGTGGCATGCGTGTAAATACTAGCAACTGAAGGAAGGATAAACAATTCCCTTCAGATCACAATAGGAAAAGACCATGCGTTCGTGAACCAAAAATTAGCATCACAATCGATGGTGTATAGAGCTGGGATGAAAGCGAGGAAGCGTTCTTCATTGCCTTTACTTCTGCCTCCTCTCATTCCACACAAGCATTTGGCGTCCGTCCGGGGGTATGTTTACGTCGACCACCGTTGTCCGGCATTCCCGAAGAGCGAATAGGTCACGCTTGATGAAAGGCATCGAAATGAGTGCCATCATCTCCTCCAAGAAGGTGAGATCCAAAGGATGAAGATGACTAGTACTACAAACAAACATCGGTTGAAAATGTACAAGTACCCTCAGATTAGTGTCTTCCATGCCTTTGCATCGTCAGTTGTATTCAACATCACACTTGTATCTCTGTTCGCCTTTCCCAAGCTTGGTGAGAGCTCCACCTGGAAGACCTCGCTCAGCTGTCACCGCCCACATTCACTTCAATACAGCTCAAGCGTGCTAATTGAAAGCCCAATTTAACTAAAAATCAAAAGTACGCTTTTGCCCGAATGATAAACCACCCTTCAATTAATGATTGATCGTCACTGACGTTCACTGATTCATGTTTTTTACGATGAATCTGTCCCACTCACTCCGACGACTCACTGTTTTGCAAGGACAACTGGGGCATTCCTTCGAAAGGGCGTCACCATCAGGAAAGGGTTCTTGACCTTCGTTGGAGTCGGAGTGCCTTCTATATTACTAGGTATGATCCATTGTAGAGGATTATCATTAATTTGTTTGTCAGTCTTTTACCAAACCTGTTTTCGTAGTTAAAGGTAACGCAACGCATGCCAACCAACTCAGTCTTTCGGCTGTTTATTTATTGCAAACTACTTGAGTTATTCAGTAGTTCCAATAGCATCGTTAATGCTATTTGTGGTTTTCCACTTCGTTTGTCCTCACAATCTCTAACCTTAAACTAACGTCCTTACCTGAAATCCACAAAACTTTGTACCGTTAAACCAAAATTCGTTCATACCTACTCCAAAAATCCCTCTCGGAATGGTTACCGAGTGTGAATCAGCCCTCGCCTTGAATTAAAAGAGTTTGAAGGTCACATCGCTACTATCTTACAGGGTAATCCCTATACATCCCCTCCAGAACTAACTTGAAAGATTGACTGCACCAATGCCAGCATCAAATGTGTGCTTTCTTGGCGTAACATAAGTCAATTCGCTACATTGTGCCCTCAACAAAACAATGCGTTAAACGAGTAGCTGACAACGAACCAGAATCGGCAAAGCACTTCAGATTGCAGTGGTGGTCTGTTGTTCATTTCGATCTATTGATGGTGAGAATCTCGTCAAAGGCAGACTGTGACATGGAAACAATAGAAGAGTGTTGTGGGATCTTACGCTTTACTGGAGGTAGCCTACAGGACTGATGTTCTTTGTACATGGCTAGAAAATCTGTGGGATGTGGCAACCATGCTTGTGTTGGTAGGTCCCACTAGTGCTTACTGACGTTCACAAATTCCGCTGATGGTGATCTAATCGGGTGTGATGCGTTCGTGCTATTCAAGAGTGAGGTCACCTAGGTCTTGAACATTCTCCTAAAAACATTAGGCTTTTTTGTACCAATGTCATCTCTTGGAGGCATCATTGTTTGGTAATTCAGCTCCTGTTTTTTACTTCTCCACTGGCGTAAAAGACGTAGTTCACTGAAGCCAGCGATTGATGATAACCAACCATAAAAGCGAGGATCGAGGGTCCACAGGAGAAAGTGAACTCTATCTGGATGTCACCTTTTGAAATACAAGGGCTAGTATAATAATTATCATGCAATAATGATAGTACTTGACAGGGAGTTTGTTCGGCTAGTTTATCCATCTCGCTAAACTGACAGACACACCACTGGCTTGCGTTCCAAATTTTTGTTTCGTTTGAAATCTCTATGGACTCTTGAAACGTGTTTCTTGATTTAGTATTTATGGTTCTCGAGGTTCATTCTCTGTCTGAAAAGGCTTTAGTAGCCTCTCCTTAGGTATGGACTATGGTGAGCCTACTATGGGCCTTACTGAAAACTGGCCCTCTCCAGGGGTTCTGGATGGGAATTACCTTATCCCCACACAAAGTTGCAATCTCTAGAATATTAATAATATCGATTACCACCTGTTGGCGCGTCTTCTTCCCCGACGACCCCAAACGACTACACCGGAGTGTTATCATACGCATCTGGACGAGTACTGAGCTGTGCCATTCCAGAAGAAGTCATGTTGTATGCTTTAGCTGGACTGTTCGTTTGAGCTTGAACACAGCCCAATCCAGAATAAGAGTGATTTGGAAGCGAAAAATAGACTGAGAAGCACGAACAGTGACTTTCGCGTCGTTCCTACGACACAGCTTTCGCCACCCACTAAATCACGTGGTCGTGTGACGCAATAAATCGGCTCTGAGCACGGAAGGCAGCTGCCAGTATAACAGGAGGTGCAGTAAAGAAAGCGTTTCCCTAGATCCACGGGTGACCAAAGTTGTGAGTGCTGTCATAATGGCTGGTGGTATAACCGGGACCTACTGGATCAGCTGTTTATATAAACCTGAGCCTTAAAAATGCTTCCCGAGAGTCAGTTTGATAAGAACCGTAATCAGAATGAATGATTTCCTACACATTGAAATTTCGGTCGTAGCTAAGCTGTTACTCCTGTTGTTGCACGAGATGTTACATACAACAGGTTAATGACAGGGCGAACTCGCCATAATTCAACAGGCCATGTCACGTGATGATAGGGACTGCTCAGTTGAATGTAACTGTCAGATTGAACTGCTGCACACACGTGATAATTTCAAAGATAGGCGAACAGAAGACCAGATCAGAAATAGGATTAGATTGCTCTGCACTAATCAGAACTCAAACGGATACGTACAAAGAGCAATAAAATAGCAGAGTTATTAAAGTATGTGACTAAATTCAGTCCGCTGATTTACCAAGCTAATTTGACTATGGTATATAAAATAGTGAAAAAGAAAGTGTATCACAATAGCTTTTGAAATGTAAAGAATTTGCTTCGTTGTGTGTGTTAGCAGTGGAGCCAGTGTGCACAATTTGTGCGGTAGTTCCCAAACATTGAAGTTGTGGTTGTTCCTGGACGTACTCAGATTTTGGTTCTCAAGCCACGCTGTCATCCTAACTGTCCTATTATTCGATCTTAGAACCTCTACTTATTAGCTTAGGCCCTCTAAAGCTAATGCACTTTTGAAGCGGCTTCCCCTCTGCTAGCCCTGTCCAGCAAACATTCTTCTGCGCCACCCCTAAGCACTGAATCCACTTCGGATGAATGCAATTATACCTTCTTCCTGAGGTGCTAATCCATGACTCAGGACATCCAAGTCTTGTTCTTTTATATTCGCTTTATATCAACCTTCACTGCCCCTGTCAATTTGCTTGACTTTCGGCGAATCATGTTTCGTTCCATAATACCGATTACTCTTTCAGTTCTGTTTAACGTCAGGTGCTATATTTTGCCAAGCTCTAACAGTAACCAAAACAAAGCCATGGTTTCTTACGCCTGGAGCCACAATGCATTGTCTGATTATGCAAGCACACAAAAATACCTCCGTTGACGTTTGGCTACAGTGGTAGTTTGCCAAGCTTTAACAGTAACCAAAACAAATCCATGGTTTCTCACGCTTGGAGCCACAATGTATTCTCTGATTATGCAAGCACACAAAAATAGCTCCGTTGACGTTTGGCTAGAGTGCGCACGCCTTGAACACCTCCATCCTATCTCCAACTGGCCAGTCGTAACTGCACTTTTATTTGCCGACTCCGAGACTTGCCTCTTCCAGCGGCTGATTGCTGTTTACTTGTTCGAACCGACTAAACTGTTTCATTGGCCTGACTTTCCCCCACCCGATGAAATATCTGCCAGGTGGAGTTTTTGTTAACGCACAAGCATCAGTTATGACTTCACGGTGGCTTACCTTTCCGCAAATCTGGTAGCATGTGCGAGGGGTGAAAACCTCGTGTGGCAGTCGGGTACACGCTGCAGAGAGGGGCACCCTGTTGCGTTGCACCACGGTGTATTCGTATGCGCGCCATCCATCTAGTAGTGCCCATCGTCGGAGGTTCTGAGGCTGGTTTTTAATTCAGGAAATCCATAAAGCGGCACCGCTGTTTTCTGTTTGTGGGTGCTGGTTTGGGCTTGTTTGGGCTGTGTCGTATATCTAGTAATGCTGTGAAATTCAGGCGAAGGAAAACTATCCTTTCGTCTGTCGAAATGCGTGGAATAGTCCAAATATGATGCTCTTGGCCTACATCGACGTGCAAGGCCGTTCCTATCTTGGGGCTCATCAGATAGGCGCAGTCCCCGAGTTTTCATCAATCCTATGTTCTACTTGAAACCAAATTGCACCCAAGAAGGGCGATGACGGTCGTGGGCTATCGACAAATTTTCAGCAACTTTATGAGTAGTGCATTACGTCCATATATGTATCGCGATATCTCGAATATCGTAGCGACTGAAACATGAGGCGGTCTGGTGCAGCACATTCATTTGGCTGGAAACATCACAAACGAGAGATTCAGCTGGGTTCCAGGTGAGTCCCTCAAAAAACCAAATTAGTTTGCAAGTGAGTGTATTTCGCTGTTGCTATCTTCATCTTAGTCGAGTTTGCTGCACACCGCACTGCGCACACACTTTGTGAGCAAAACATAACAGGTGCACACTCCTCCGGCGAACGGTCACATAAAAATCAAACATAGAGACAAGTACACTCGTTTGCCCACCAACTGAGTTTCAATAGCAAACTCATCTAAATCTGGCTGAATCTCTCGTTTATGGTACTCTTGAACCGACTGTTGCAGTTGGTACGATACTCCAGATATCAGAGTGTTTTCTTGCAGATTTTCAGCAAACTTGTGGATAGTTTTCTTCAAGCGCACCAGATCTTTGTACCTTAAACTCACGACAGCTAGATCTTGGTGGCTCCTGGATAAACTGGAACCTCTGAGATCCGGAGTGACCAGTTCTAATCCGAAGGATATGACTGAAACCGGTCGTGGGCTGTCGAAGATTTTTCAGCAACCTTGTGAGTAGTTTCCTTTATGAAACTATGCTGCGATATCTCGAAGATCGTGCCAACTGAAACACGAGGCGACCTGTGTGCAGCACTTTCAGTTGTAGAATATCATAGACGAGAGATTCAACTGAGTCTCTCGTGAAAACTAAATCGATTTGCAAATGAGTGTGTTTCTCGAAAACGGTCCAATTTCGGTTGAAGTAGAACATAAGGTTGACGGAAGCTCGGGGACTGCGCCTATCTGCTGAGCCCTCAGAAGGGCGAAACCGGTCGTGGGCTGTCGAAGAGTTTTCATCAACCTTGTGAGTAGCTTCCTTTATGACCAAAACTAGCTCCAAATTTTCCGCACACAAAAAAGTTAGTGAACTCGTTGACGTTGGGTCATTATTTACCAAATTTGTGGTCTATCAGGTTATATCATTAACTGCGTTTTCATTGTACAAGGCCACTTGGACGTGTCTGTGCGACAGATATCCAGTTTGTGTTCAGTAGAACTCTTATTAGACTGGGAATAAACCTACTAAGATTCGACTTGGTTGACAGATTCATAAATTCGTGATCCATAGACGTTATGTCGATGTTATCTTCGGAGTGTGCTCAGATTGCGATCAGATGAATTCAACTAACAATTTCAACTAAGCAAAAAGATAAAATCGCATCCCTGGTTAGAATGTCCAGTAGCTAAAACGTAGGCCGGTGTGAATGCTCATTTTCACATAGTCCTTTGGGAGAGACTAACATCTACACTTCAAAAGTCTCGTGCCTATTGGACAAAACCGTGCTCCAGTTAAGACCCCTTTTGATAGAACGGGTTTTCACCCCAAACAGTGTACGCCAGGAAGGGTGACTGTTAAGTCAGACCTTAACTGAAAACGGCCACCTAAAAAAGACCCGAGGGAATTTTGTGTGCAGTGAATCAGACGATTTACCATGCCACAACACCCATTTAGTTTATTTTCCTCTATTATGAGCAGTTCAAATGCGTAGAACGCCGTTCATTAAACTTTGCCGAAAGAAACGACGCTCCTGGTCACCGAACCAAAAAGGGCTCCTTAGATTTGGCCGGCAACGCCAACGGTAACTAGCAATTTCTTTGTACGGGAAGATAGGGACAAATGGACATAACAACCAGGTATTTGGTAACTAGTCAAAATAACTTGTCCAAAAACAGCTCTAGAAACGTGAACCTAAATCTCTGAGATGTGGCGCGACTGGGCACATACTACACATAACGGTTGTGTTGTTAACTCAACGATTGCTTTTGGTATCACTTCTGGATCAAAACAGAAGTATGTACTTTAAATTGCGCAAGTTGTATGGACACTTCGTTCGTGTGAAAATGCAGCTCGCAACTAACGTCACACTGGCTCGCCAAATTAGAACCCTTTTTGGTCCTGGAGACGCCTCTCTGGTTTGACTGTATGTGCGTTCAAAGCGTCGCGCGGATCTAATGGGAACATCAGATCAGTAATGTTGGAGTACTCGGACCTACAAGGGGAACATCAGATCAGTAATGTTGGAGTACACCAGATGGTTTTCGCGGAATGTCACTCTCCCTCAATGGATCTCCACAGGTTACGCTAGCTGGACCGTATACTTCGTGTGCCTGAAGGCAATTTGCTTCGTAAAGCTCTGTTCGATCAATTTTGTATCGGATGGAGACCATCTGGAGGAAATCAATGATGACTTGGCAACGAAGCGTGAAAATCCCTACTAGTCAACTTAATCGCGTTGGTAACTTCTGTCTCCCCGAATGAGGACTATGGGACGAGTCAAACGGATGGTTAGTGATCTTGGTAGATGGCTGCGTCACGCAGTTATGGGCACCCTAATTCACTGCGTAGCTCTCAACTTTCGTCATACCGGACAAACAGATCTACTTATCTCAACGTGACACACCACTCACAGGGTTACTGAAAACTCTTCGACAGCCCACGACCGGTTTCGCCCTTCCTGAGTCTCACCAGGTAGATGCAGTCTCCGAGTTTCCCTCAACTTTATTTTCTAATTGAACTCAAACTTGACAGAGTACGACCGATTTGGTGTTGACAAGAGATTCAACATACTGTCGAATCTCGTGCCAAGTGAAGAATGAGGTGGCCTTGTGAAGCACATCCGTTTGAAACGGACCATCAAAAACGAAGCATTCAGCTAGACTCAGTTGGGTCTCCTTTCAAAACCAACTTTGTGTGCGCATGAAAACATTCGTCGGTATCCATGCACAGGTTGAATCGCCGACTCCAACGAGTGGCTCTCATTCGTGTATGCTCCTCATCCTTATCAGTGAAGTTGCAGCAGCTGGAGCCACTGCACTCTAGTGCATGGTCGGTGAGCTGAAAAACTGGAACAAACTGACTTAATCCCATCACTTTACAACTTTTTTTCATTTTCCGGTACTTTATGTGCACTCTTTCACGTTCTCTTCTCTGTCGGCTACTGTCATCCTGTGTCTGATCGATTTTTATTCGCGTATCCTTAATGGCAATCATCACATGTGTTGACCTGACTACTTTAACTAAGTAAGGCGAATCTTCCACCGGGCATGGCCTCCCGGAACTTCACGAGTTCTCTCTGTCCGCCGCATGTGTGGCCACTGAGGTGCGATACAAATAACTTTGCGCAAGAAATTTCACATGCTGAGTCGAACTTCTTTCGAACAAGTAAATCTTTAGTGGAAGCATCACCAAGGCTCAGATTTGCGAGCAAACTTGTATGAAGCTGTTGCCTAGGTTTGTCGCAACTCTGTATATTGCAAACTGAGTATATGCGTATGCCATTTGCGTGTGTAAATGTAACATCTATCTATCTATCGTCTATCGGCCGTCTATCGGAATCGCAGCGATTACTTTTCAGGAAAGATGGGCACCCTTTTGCGCACGGAACGAACCCATTCGGAGAATTCCGGACCCCATCAGAAAGGGACTTTACTTTTTAAAAATCTTCCTGGAAGTGATCCATGGTCCGTGTTTATTATAGTTAGCTGACCATACTTTGTACAATGTGTTTTAGCTACTCATTCCAAAAAGTCATCTGGCCTTTCCCAACACTGACCTTTAGTTTCTAACTGTGCGCCTTTTTCATGTTGCCTCTAGGTTATATCCCAGACACCGCTGCTCCATGTAGTGCAGCATTAACCCACGTGACTTTACCGTGGGTACCACTGAACAACAACGTTAAACTTCACCATAATCCGCCCGGCAACGAGTCTTTCAGCCACATACCGATAATATGTTTGACTTCTCTAATGCTGTTATGGTCAACTCGGATAGATCGAGGATTTTTATGAGTTACCGGGATAGGTAAAACAACTAACTACCAATTTCGTGCGTGAAAATGGGATAGGTTGAGTTGTCAGTTCAACGGGTGCTCAATAAGTTGGCCATTTCAATAATACCAACAACAAAGGTATACTTAGGGTGACTCGACTGGGGGCTGGAAACAAAATTGTTTCTACCCTGCCCCAACAACGGTACTCCGTTTATTTGGTTATACTACTCCAGCTACTTGAGTCTAGCAAGTAGTATATGAGTAATCCAGCATACTTTTCGAGCCAGTGAGCCACAACACTATTTATTCCTAGATGGTTTGTCCCACTTGTTTGCCGTATTCACAGCAGCAATTTTTCGATATCGTTATTTTATGAGTAATGAGAATCCACCGGAAGTAACGGTAGTAACCATGTACAACGGTGACACCGCAACTATCAATAGCAACGTCAGTCCGACCCTCGATACGTGAATTACATTGCCGGCCCCCTGTGATACACTTAAAGTTGCCAACCTGAAGCTCACGCTGGAAGAATACGGAGGTAGTCTTTATGCTGCATAAATAACAAATATTTGAGTTCAAATAAAACCGGGAGTTATATGATTGTCCACAGATTAACTTTGGGAAATTGGCTTGGCTACGTCTATGTGGTCACAATGACCTGTGAACATCAGTCTCTGTTCTAAACTTAGACCTGGATTTTTGAAAGTTTTCTGAAAATTCTAATGCGTCGGTTTGGTTTTATTACCTTCAACAT